CCCCCCCCGGCCGGCGTCCAGGGCCAAGAGGCAGCCAGGGGGGTGTGTGGAGGGGTTTGGGTGTGCGAGCGCAGGGTGTGGGTGTGCAGGCAGCAGGAGGAGGGCAGCCAGCGTTGAGGGAGGGCACACACGTGGGTTGTCAGTGAGAGAGGGGAGGAAGGGGGAAAGAGGGACCACACATTACACAGAGCCGATTCTGACAAAGGAGGGTGATCCCAGCCAGTCTCTCTATGCTCTCTGCCCACAGGGCCCCTGAGCTGCCTCCTCACAGGTCACCAATCTCTCCAGAAACAGGGGTCCATAAGGCAGTGACAGATGATGGCAGAGGGTGCTCAGGTCCCTGTCCCCACTCCCTTTCCTGCATTTGAAGGTTCAAGGAATGGAGATACAACCCACTCCCTTTCCTGCATTTGAAGGTTCAAGGAATGGAGATACAACCTGACTAGGTTCAAGGGATGGAGATACAACTGGTAATCTGACTGCTGCCCAGACTACCACCCCATTCTTAAGCCAATGAGCTTGTGGGGCAGATCAGGCTCTAAAATGCCATGTATGCCTCAAAGGGACAAGCTAGTGAGCACGCTGGTGTGACACAGCTTGGCCTGGCAGCTCCTAAATTGCTCTCAGCTCCTGCCTCAGTTGGGTCTCTGAAGGACAGAGCTGAGCTGCTGATGGTGAGCAGCTGGCGGGGCCAGGTCTGTCCCCTGGTTCTGCCTGTTCAGTGCCAGGGAGTGGAAGCTAAGCTACATCCCCAAGTGTCTTGCAGCATTTTGGTGCCACAACGTTCCCACAACCTGCAGTATTCGTTTCAGTGCCACCACATTCCCACTGCCTGCACTCACTGGCCATAGAGCAGAAGAGACAGCTGGGCACCAGCAGCCTGCAGACTCCATGGGGAGAGAGGACTGGCACAGCCACCTACCTGTATCCTGTCCTCTGGCAGCTCTGTCTTCACTGCCAGCATCTCCCGGGCATAGACATCAGGGTAGTGAGCTTCATTGAAAGCCTTCTCCAGTTCCTCTAGCTGGTGAGCTGTGAACACTGTCCTGCCGAGAGGGACAGAGCATCCTGTGACACAGTCCAGGCTCTTACAGCCAAGCAGTGGGGCTGGAAGCCCTCTCCCTGCTGAGTCTTCCTCCAGAAAACCCTCCCCCACCCAAGCTGCAGCCTGTCTCTTTCTTTTCTGCCTTTGGGGCATCCACTGCGCCAGCACGGGGACTGGCGGGACAGCGGGAGCCTGGTGGCAGCAGCGAGGAGGTGACAACGGGGACAGCCCCGCTCTCGGGCTCTACCTGTGCCGGCGTTTCTTCCTCTTCATCTGGGAGGTGGACATCTTCAGGTGGCTGGCGTCCCCAGACAGGCTGTCCTCATCTGGCGGCAGCAGCATGCGGGAGGGAAGAGTCACCTTTCCGCCGGGAGCAGGGGGACCAAACCCAACTCCCGAAACACGGCTCCAGCTGCCCGCGGGGAGCGGGGCCGGCGCCAGGGTCCCGTCCCACAGCGACCGGCGGCATCG